ATGAGCGACCGTAGACTCACCCATCTCCTTAACTCCCTCAGCCTTGGATGGCTCAGACGGAATGATCTTTAGCGGGCCGTCTGCTCTTCTGTTATCTGTTTTCTTCCCGGGAACTTCAGCTGGGGACTGCCTGGGCTTTTTTCCCTCCTGTTGTCGCTTTTTGGCCCATCTGGCTTCGGTTTTGTCGGTGTGGACTTGCTCAACGGTGACCCAGCTGATAGACTTTGATGGACCACCCTGCGTTGGCATGCCTCGCCCACTCATACTCCATGCGCCATTGGGGCGTTTAGTTTGCTCAGAATGACTCTGGGCTTCTTTTGTTGCATTATTACTGTTGCAGGAACAATGGGGATGTCGCCCTGCTGGGCGTGATGAACTGTATCAGGGGTAACTTTGATGTACCCCCCGGTGTTCATCTCCACTACAGCAGCCCTAGAGAGCAGAAGGTCCCGGCTGCATGTGCTGCAAAATACTACTAGTATAGGCCTAGGTCTCGCAGTCTGGTTCTGCCTTTACAACTCAACCCTGTGGCACTTAATATAGGACGTATTGGCCGGTATACCCACCAGTCGAAAAACATCTTGAACGTGTCTGTGATCTGCCTCTCGTCGCGAATCGTTGGCTCCGCAGAGTTATGCAGGAAGACGTTTCTTGTTCGACCCAGTAGCGTTTGAGTGCTGCGTTGCAGTTCTTGAAGATCTTTCTCCAGTTGTTCTATACGTCCACTCACTTCTATCGAACCCGACGGTTTAACCGTAGCCCATTCGAGTGGTTTGTTTTCCTTTGTGCTCGTGATTTTCTCCTTCCCATTGTTTTCCTTCATAGCATGTTTAACGCTAGGATTTACCGTCTCCGCCTACTTCGCTGCCGGCCTCGGCGCGCGATTATTGGAGGCCTGTGGTGAACTGGTGGTCACAGCACCTACCAAGGCTCCGTTCAGAATGCGTAAACATTCCTCTATCAGAGCCTCGCAGTGTGCGCATATCCACTTTAATTCTCCATGTTGAAGGTGCAGCGCATAGCACTGCTTCGACATCTTGGAGCAATTTTCGTGTTCCACGAGCCACCATTATTACACTGTACACCATTACTAACGGCTCTACCACAACTAATGGATCCACACTTGTCAGGGTGCTGGATCATGGTTGCTTTAGTAACAATGAATAAAGATCACGTATCGTACGGGAAAAACAATACATATATAGAAAAAGAACCTCAAATTGCAAAATCCCCTGGACAAAAATACCCAACCAAAGATGACTCAAGCCCGTATTTAAACGGGACCAAAAATTCTCAAAAAGCAAAACTGGCCGACCAGTTGGGTCGACTGTACGATACAACGACTGGGAATAAGCCTATAAAACATCTACTGATATTTCAATTTTAAATATATGACGCTTTGAAGGTATGGCCCTTTTGAGGTCACAAAACGAAACGAGTAGTGAAAGGGGATATTTCACTATATATAGTTTGAAACATCTATTGATATTTCACAATTAGCTGAGTAAAAATACTTTCGATCACGAGCACTTTGAAAATTTAAACCGGGCGCTAACGTACCGCAGGTAGTGGACGTCTCGGTGATTTGTTCTTGGGTTTGTTGTCCCTAACTCCGCTCGATACAGGTATTCTACCACTCACCTCTCGAGTTCCGGGGGAGTGGTCAAAGGGATAGGGTTGTTACTCAATCCAAGATGTGGAGGTCAGGTCAGTCTTGACAGGACAGTTCACAGGACTTGCGGCTTGAGCCAGTAAGGTAGTCCAGGTTCTTGCGTTTACGGGCCACGGGTGTCTCGTAACGCTACGACAGTGGGTTGATCGGTCCTTGGTGGTGTAATGGTACTGCCGCGGAGCAGGGACGCCAATCCGGTTTGCTGTCGATGGAAGTAGCACCAGCAGATCAGTCATAGACTAACCAAGAGGTCTGAATACCCTCCAGCAGACAGTAGAGGACCCGCAGGCATGCGAAGATAGATTTGACCAGCTTCAGCTGATGTCCTCTTAGGGCTGGGTTTTCACTGAGGGAGAAGAGTTGCCTGCTAGGCTGTGAGAGTCCTTTTAGTATTTTGAAAACATCTACTAGGTCACCTCTCATTCGTCTATGAGATAGAGAGAGCAAGTTTAGCTCTCTCAGGCGCCTCGGGTACGACATCATTCTCAGAGCATGCAAAAGCCTGGTGAATCGTCTCTGGACGTGCTATAGAGCCTTTTGGTCGCGTACGAAGTTTGGCGTCCATGACTGTACGCAGTAGTGGAGGTGTGGAGACACCAAGGCCTTGTAGAGGGGCAGTAAAACTGCTACTGTTCTCCACAGCAAGAA